CTGAATATCATTTTGATTTAAAAAATGGAAGGCACAATTTTGACCTCACCAATAATGATCTGAGTTTCATTCGGCACTCTGATGTCTTCCATCTTAGCATTGTTATGTTTGTGAAGTACGTAATCGATTATTGTTCTTCTTATTTTTCTAATCCATCCAATTTAAGAATATACTTGTGTTTAAAGAACCCATTATAGATATTTAAGCCATATTGCATTCAAAATCAGCAAAATGTAATTGCATTTCAATGAGCCATTAAAGATTGTCAATCACGGTTTCCTCGCCGTACCTCCCGACCACATTATTCTGTTCTTGCCTTTCTACTCTACCATCAAAATCCCCACTTCTAACTATATCCTTTCTGTTAGCAACAGTTATCTAAGACACTCGTCAATTTATTAAAACATGCAGAATTTTCAGGAGCACCTTCATTTGGAACATATGTACCTACAAAAACCATCTCCATTCCTTTTATTTTAAAATAGAGTGTTAACATTTTCTCTTTGTTGCATGACCCAGCTCTTAATATTATTTTTATATCATGTTGATACGACGAAGGAAATTCCTCTTTGTTCTAATTACTTTGTTTCCATTGTCGTTTCCTGGACATTCCTGTAATTGGGGTGGGCCATTCAGCAATCGAACATTTTTAACAGAGTAGAGGTGCTCGCCTTTCGCCCAACAAGGATCGGAAATTTCTTCTTCGGGGTTCTTCTCTTAGACAAGCTGGTTTCCCTCCCGTTGGAGAGTGCTGTACGCCCTACTCCAAGAAAAGGGAGGAATGAATTAAGGAACTTGTAGGGAAGGTAAAGGCCTGGGAATATGCCTGAGTGGTCTGATAGGTAGTTTAGGGACACCCTCGTCTGACTCCTCCACCAGAGCCAATAAAAGAAGCTGCACATTGGTTGCCTTGGTGTCGTAGAAGCAGCAGGCCTCCCCGCCCGCTCGGACACTTCCACTACAAGGGGCATTCCATCATTTTTCAAATTAAAAATATGTTTAATGACATCATTAGCGCGTTAAGTGTAAAGAGGACACTTTTCTAAAATAAATAAGGGTTCGTCCATAAATGACGAAACACTAAAAAGGAGGAAGGGGATCTGAGGCAGCGTTACGGAAGGGTAGGGGGTCAGTGTTCAGTGTTACGTAATGCTAATATTTATGAACATATACTAATTTTTTTCAGTATTAAGCTAAACCATGAAAATAATAGCAAATAAAATTAAACCAGTATAAATAAATTGAAGTATAACGTTAAATTGTTTTAAAATGGTATTTTTTCATAGTAGTATAGCGAGTTACATTACACCCTCGGGTGTCCCTCGCATCCCCGCCTCCACATCTCTCCATCGGTGTAGTCTTCATTACTTCATCCTCTCTTCTCTATTGCCTCATCCACTCCCTCTCCCCATGTAAGTCTAGGTCTTCGTCTTCGTCGATGGGGAGCTGGTTGCCATTTCCACAATATTTTCGGCCATCGCTCTTCGTTCATTCTTTGCATGTGTCCATACAATTTTAGTCTTTTCACGTCTATGGTGTCAATTATATTAAAACTCTTCATTCTTAATTCTTCATTCTTAACTTTATCCATTAATGTCAGTCCGCAACTTCGGCGCCAGAAATCCATTTCCATTGCTTTCAATTTCTTTTCGCACTTTTTTGTTACTTCCCATATCTCAGATCTATAAAGGGCAAATTCTCTGCAACAGTCTTATATAATTTTCTTTTTACACTCTTACTTAATTTATCTTTCCATATCAGTAGATGTAATTGTCTTATAGCCACTCTACCATTTGCAATTCTGTTTATAATATCATGCGTACTGCCTCCTTTTGCGTTTATTTCTGAACGGAGGTATACGAATTTTTGACAGGGTTTTACTTCTGAACCATCATCCAGTTTCAGATCTTTAGCACTTCCTCCTACAACCATATACTCAGTCTTGTCAAGGTTTATTTCTAAAACCCATTCCGAGTACTCTTCATATAAATTTCGCAGCATGTATAGAGCATCGTCTTCATCTTCAGCAAACACCGCCCGATCATCTGCGAAATGTAGAAAGAATAACATTGAGTCACCAATTTTAATACCCATATTATAACAATTATTCCTCCATCTTCTCAGGGCTTCATTTAAATATATTTTAAACAAAGTCGGGGCTACACAGCACACCTATCGTGAACCTTTATTTACTAGAAATGGTGCTGAATTGTTTCTCCCTATTTTTATTTTGCTCGTATTATCACTGTATAAATCTATACCGGCTCTAATCAATTGGGTATTTACATTTTGTTTCTCCATCACCATCCATAGTCTATATAATGGAACAGTGTCGTAGGCCTTACGCAAATCTGTAAACACAATGTGCATCTCCAAGTTATGGGCGAGATGTTTGTCGGTTACGTGTCTAATACTGAACACGTTATCAATACATGAGCATCCCGCTCGAAAGCCGCTCTGTTCCTCGCAATCAATGTGGTCTCTTTCCAGTCGGGTTTTTAATATTTTCCCATATACTCGGACAATGCTGCTAAAGACAGTTATATCTCAATAATGTGCACACTGTTTTCTATCACCTTTTTCGTAGATGTTAAATATATCTCATTTCTTGAAGTCCTTGGGTTATTCCTCCCCCATTAAACATCTATTGTACAGTTGAGTAAGAAGATTCAAAAATAAACCGGTGCCCTCTTCAGCAATTAAAGTTTACCAATCCTGGACCGGCTGCTTTTCCATTTTTAAATCTCTATTGTTTTTCCAGTCTCTCAGTGAAATGCATTTCATATCATCTGGTTCCTCGAGCTCTATGTTGTACGTGTTACTAAATGCAAACCTATTTTCTTTCAAAAGTTCTTCGTAATATATTTTAAATTGATCTATACATATAGGTTGTAGTACTGAATTTTGCTTTTTGTTTTGTCTGAGGTTCTTTATTATTTTCCATGCGTTCTTTGATCTGGCATTGCCTATACTCTGTTCTACATCTTCACATGCTCTATTCCAAGCTTCAGTTTTTGCTTTTCTTCTTGTTTAACTTCTCTACTAATTTGACGACACCGTTCTCTGTCTTCAATATCTTGAGTGCTTAACCAGGAAGCAATTTTCTTGTCTCGCACTTTCATTCCCAAAGAATTATTCCACCATGGGTCACGTCTTCCTTTCCTACCAGTATGTTCTATTTCTCCGAGGTTCTCATAAGCTGCCTGATGTACGGCATCTACAATTCCATCGTAGAGTGTTTGCCTAGTTATTTGGTCCACTTCTAACAGTTTCTTACTCTACCTGAGCTTGTAGAGGAAGAATATAGATGGATCTTCAAGCAAACGCATTTTGTATTATTTTTTCTCTGTGGTACTAGATTCATGAATTTCCGATTTCTGTATCTGGTTCACATAAGGAAGATACACTCTTGATTTCAACAAAAAATGGCCTGAGTTGCACTCAGCTCCTCTATAGATTCAAACATCTTCCACCTTTATTTTGTTGTTGCGTTTTCCAATAACGTAATGTATTATGGTATTACTCGTTCATCTAGGTCAAGTGCATTTGTGAATGTCTTTGTTTGAAAAAAACATTCCATATTTTTCAATTGTACTGGGAGTTTAACTCTAATTAGTCGTTCACCATTTCAATTTACCACGTCTCCGTATCTTTCTACAACTTCGTCTTGTGCAAGCCTTTCAACTCTACTATTAAAGTCTCTCAATAAAAATATATCCTTCCAGTTTGGTATCCCATCCAAGACAGCTGATTAAAAAACCTACCTTTCTCCAATTCGGTGGCATTGTCATTTGGAGTATATATACCTATAACTACCATTTCAATACGTTTAATTTTAAAATCAATTTTTAAAATATTCTCACTTGCACATGATCAACTCTTAATGTTACGTTTATATTTCTTTATCACAGCAATGGAAATTCCTTCCTTAGCTCTAAATTCTTTGTTGACACCACTATATATGTGAATGTAGTCTTTTATTTCGTTTACTCCGTTCCTTTTTCTTTGTTTCTCTGTTTTTTAAAATCAAAGTAATTTCTATTCCCATCTTTTTAATTTCTTCGACTTTTATTCTTTTCATGTTGACCCTGAACATTCCACGTGCCTATACTCATATACCGTTTTCGTTTGCCAAGTCGTTTCTTGGACAATCCTGCTTCATTACTGGGATATTTAGCGTTTGGGTTTTTTTACAGATGCAGTGGGGCTGGCCCTACGCCCTAACCCTCAACGTGGAGGACTAGAGACTTATTTTCGTTGTTACTGTCCCGTAGAGAAGCCGGTTTCCCTCTCGCCTTCAGAGCCTTGTACGCCTTTCCCTTTTAGAACAATGAAGAAAGCAAAGTGTGAGAGAAGATGAAAAAGAAAAAAAAATTGAATACATGGGAAAAGGGGAAGAAATGAAAGTGAAAGACACCCTAGCCCTCGCAACCTAATAGCGTCGGGATCGAAATGCAATAAATATATAATTGATGAAAAGTATGGTATGTGTTAGATTACGAAGAAAATAATCAAAACTGATCTATAGTATATTCTAGAATCCAATGAAATTGGAGTAGTAAGACTCTCGCTCATGCATCTTCCACGACGGTGTGCGCGTGGCTTGTCAGATATTTTTTCGAATAATCGTTCTTCATTAAAATATTGTTCCCAATTTTATTGCCAGGGGCAGTTCGCATCGCTAACTAGTTCCGTCTTTAATCATAATTCATTTTAATATACAACACAAAATTAATACAACTTATTGTTATCTCATTAAAGTGTATTTTTATAGTATTGGAAATGGGAAGTCTTGTCCCAAGGGTTGCGTAATTATTTAGGGGGAATTACAGTGGGGGAGAAAGGTTAGTCAAAATACTCCAAATTTGGGTTACGTCGTCATGGACGGCCCCTAAATAAATAATTAACCAAAACAACTAGCATGTCGTATAGTCCTTTTTCCCTCGTCACTCTCGATGTGTTTAAAGGAAGGTATAAGGAGAAATAAGACATATTTCACCTCTTTTCTGCGCGACTTTATTCAATAGCCAACCAAGGGCGGGTGGGGGGGTTGGGAGGGGGGGGGGGCGCCGGGGCGGCGGCGGCGCAGCCCGCTGCTCGCCCGGGTCAGGACCATGTAGTTAGGGGCGCGATGGAGAACAAACGGAGGTTTCCTATCCGACGAGCGCTCAAGGGGGCGGCGGTGTGCGGCAGGCGGGTCGTCGCACGGCGCCTTTTCGCGCCCCACACGCCGCCGCCGCCGCCGCCGCCAGGCAGCGCACAGGTTTACGACATTCTCAAGCAAACATTCAACCCGTCAAAAAACGTTACAACCGATAATGTGTATAAATACACAGGGAACATAAAATGGAGGATCTCTCGTTCATCAATGTCACAATAAATGTTCACAATTCAAAGTTCATTCTGACGGTAAGATATCTTCGAATATTTCTTGTAACAACATTATACGTTTGGCTGCGTGGCGTGGCGGGCGTGGCGGGTGGGGCGGGCGCGGGCGCACTCGGCCCAGTTCGTGCTCGCGGCGGTGACCTTGACCGCCCGCTCTCCAGGCGGCTGCGCGGGCGCACGCAACGGCTGGTTGGGCTTCAGCTCCTCGGGGCGGTGCATCGGCCGCCGCGCGGGGCGGCGGCTCGGCTCTCGGCCTGCGACACACACACGCCCTGCTGTAATGCCATTTACTTGTAGGCGCGCTCACGGAAATCAGCTGATACAGTGCCATCTAATCACGAGCTTGATCGTCACCACAGTGACGTCACTAGGTCCCAAGCTGGGCGGAGAGGGGGACCGAGGTGGAGAGATATGGGCGGCTACGTCGACGCACCGATTTGGGCTCGTTCTACGAACCACGTGGCAAAAGCAGGCCGCCGTGTTGCGTGGATAGAAACAAGTGTTGAGAAACATTTCGAAAGTGGCATAAAGTGACAATTCTGAACGAAAGGCAACACGATGACGGTGTAATTGTAATAAAAGTTACATTTACATACATTATTGTATAAAAAAGATTCATATATCTGCTTCAATGACTTGCAACAAAGTGATCCGCTGATATTGTGACGCAAACCGATGTCTCAAGCTTATTGGCTGAAGTCTGATACGACACGCAAGTGCTCCCTCTGGGGGGAACATACTTACCCTATCGCGAGCTTCGTTACGACTTAATTTTTTGGTATTGAATCTCCCGATTGGATGGCAGTGTCTCCTCGCTTTCCAGCACGTGATGTTGAAGGAACACTATTTTAATCGAAGTATAGTGATGCTACAGGGACAACAAAACATCGATGTTGCCAAACATCAATGTTTCAAATCAAAACATCGACATTAATAATAAATCGACCAAAAAACATCGAAGTTCAACAATAATTTCTCAAAGATGTCGTTATTTTGGAGCATGGTGATCACTTCCCATAATTATGTTTAATCTTTGATATTTCGATGTTTGATTCATCGGTAAAATCTAATGAACCTCTAATTTTAAAAAAATTCTGTCATTCAAGTTGGTCAGGTGATGTTACATCAAGTGTACATCAAATGTCACATCTCTAGTGTCGCAGGTTTTGTACTACCAATTTTCAATATTGACAATCTTTGTATAATATGCTTCTTAGTTTAAATTTTTTACTTAAGTATTTTATACAAATGTGGATCCAAAGTTTGTAACAATTTAGTTTATTATTTTCGTTTTATTTTATTGTTTATGATGTTTTACAAATGTTATTGATTTAATCACTATAGCATGATTGTAACTTCTTTCATTATTTTTTAGATTTTTTTAAAAAAAGACCCTAATTAAGGTCGAAACGTTAAAAGTAAATAAAGTATTTCAAAACAAATAGTATTGTTTGTTTTTCAAATAAAGGTCGGAATACTTTTATAACTATAACGAGGTAATGGACGTTAACCAATCCTTAAAACTGTTTTCATACTCACCCTTTGCTGTGTGTCCACTCTCAGGCCTGAGAGAAGCAGACAGCAACATGGGTTTTTGCCGCAATGCAAATTATTTATGTAACTGCATTAACTGGGAATTGCTCTTTATAGTACTTTCTTGCAGAATGTCTGGCTGATGATTTTTGGATGTCATAATCACGCCATGACCAACGGGGACTTGGGGGCGCTAGCGCCGCGGTAGCCGCCTCGATGAGGCGATTTCCCTGGCGCGAGCGTCCCCCAAAACCATGTTGAGCAAGACCCAGTTACTACTACCAATCAAGGCAGATGGTCAACTGCACCCGGCGGCGGCGACGGCGGAGACCGCGGCAGGCCCCGAGCCGAGGCCCCCGCCGCGCCGGGTGGCGAGTGGACGCCCGTGGGCGGCCGAAGGCGGTCCGTGGGCGGGGGTGGGCGGTGCGGGCGACGCCGCGCCGCGCTCTGCGCCCGCGGCCCGCGCCGCGCCCTTCGCCGCGCTCTGCACACGCACAGGACAAACCAATAAATACAGGCAAACCTCTCGACAAGACCCTTTTCGAGACTAGTTTGCTACGGACGTGAATAGTTATTCAAATGACCAATGTAGACAACCACCCCTCTTCCCTTCCAACGACCACCACTTTTATCGTAATGTAATATAACATTCCCTCTAAGACGACCAGAAAATCTCGCACTGAAAGATTAAACCCGAGAGGTTGCGTACTACTGTGGGCCAAGCCCTTTCCAGTCTCTCAGGTATGTGCAGCGAGCGGGTACGTGAGATTTCACGATAACTCCGAAGGGAAAACCTTTCAGGAAAAGTAGAGAAACTATTCCGTTATAAAGTTGAAATATAAAATCACAGATGCCAAGTAATACCCCAGAATTATAATAATCAGGAAACCACCTTATGTCAATAACGCATTACATTAAGAAGGACAATTCTTACACAACTGTACTATTCTTCTTTTGTAATCATTTAGTAAATAAATACAGTTGACCAAGTAATTTAATGATGGAATACAATAGAGCTTTCATTTGAAACGAGAATAGTGTTACGATGCTTATCGTAGTAGTCGTATCAGCAGCAACAGTGAAAAAATTTAATAGCGCAATGTTCCCTTACAAAAAGACGATTTAAAGAACTCAGATGTATTTTAAGGCCTTAAGCACGTGTTCTACTTTAAGCACGGGGTTTAAAGAGGTTTCAATGTAATATATCAAGTAAAATGTATAACAAGAAAATAGAATATCAAGTAAGCAACTAAATAGTAGATGAAGATAAATTACATTGCACGTTTCCAAGAATAACAGGGTGACCACACTTTTCCTAATAAATATCCCTCACTGTTCCAAATTATCCAGCTCATTTCTCCATTGTTCGATGGCAACATTTATGAAGTATTTCCGGGTATTTAAAGACATTTTTTACAAAGCCTAACTTCGGTCGATATTAAAATACTGGTATTCATTGATCCCTTTTCACCTTTGCATTCTATATTTCCTTGCACAATCATTATGAGAGAGGCAGATGCACTTTAATTCAAAACACACAGTCACAACATCTCTGCGTTACGCAGGAGGCCTTTGCCCTAATAGGGATGGTTAGGCTTGTAATAATAATAATAATAATAATAATAATAATAATAATAATAATAATAATACAAAACGAATCACGTTGTTCTTTCAGCAATTTAAACCTTACTTCTATAAATAAAACTGTAGTGTCAATATTAGTCGTCTACACGGAAATGGCGTTCATACACTATATGAAAATTGCCTTTTGGATCTTTTGTACAGTCATCATGTTCATAATCTAACATAGTTTTCGTTCTCCTTCTGCGTGTAGGTGGGGGGAAAACTGCATCTAAATCGCACACTCAGCACGCTCAGTTGCAGTGCTTAGCATTTCATCAAATTTATTTCGATATCTGAATGGTCGTTTAAAGAAGACAGAAATTTAGAATCTCTGAGGCCTCTGGCAGATTCGAAACATGACTCCCCCACCCCCCCACCCGTATACACACTGATATACATTTCATTCAGTAATAAATAAAGGTATATAAATTGTCTCTGCATTTCTACCAATAAATACAGGACTTCAGTGCTGAACCAAGAAAGATAGAGGTATTTTGCTGGAATTTACCCATTGTGTATTAATAAATGGAAAATTAATATTATTTCAAATTAATGCAACAATAACATTGTACAAAAAACATTGTGTATTAATAAATGAAAAATTAATATAATTTCACATTAATACAACAAAAACATTGCCATTTGCTTAGTGGTAACGGAGAATGAAGTGTTGTTTCCCATAGTTGCGAAAATCGAAGTGTACTGTAAAACAGTGTCCAACAAACCGCTATATATAAAAAAAACATTTTACCAATAAAGCGATAAAGCAAAATAAGTTCCTTTGAGATATGTGGGACTCGGCACACATAACTGCATTAAAATCTGAAATGGAATCGTAGGGTATGTTTCTAAAATTTGCTTAAAAAAACATTTTTATACCTCCAGAGCAACGTTTTACTTCATATATTCAAACAGTACACCCTAACTCAGAAACGACAAGTGATATCAAAAAGTGTGTAAGGACATTTCTGGAAAACAAATATTTTCCGCCATTGTTACTGGTGACTGAAGCTAATCCCGAGCAGGTTTAATGTCACCCTGCATTTTTACAATATTAGTACTGTGATAATTAAGACTAAAGTGAAAACGAGTCCGAAAGTTTTTCCGAACTCTTGCGCCACTACGACTGCCACGGCACTAAGCAGTGAAACAACTAAGGTAAAACTAGTTGTGCTAAAAGATCACATTTTCTTGTAATTTTCGAACATTAGCAATTCCGGTCTCGTTACCGAATTCATTAACTAGTCTCTGTGAAGTCATGGAGGTTAAAGTAATTCGAAACTTCCCGAGCTCCTGGTTGGGTGACGTCTCGGAACCACGGGATCGAACGGCTCTACGCCCGAGGCCGAACGCACTGACTCAATGCGACGTAACGAGTCTTGACAAAAATAATAACGGAGGATTAGGCTAATGCCAGGCACTCAACGCCCAACAAGGGTTCAGAGACGCGAACCGTCGACAAAGACGCAACCTTTTTTTTAATTAGAAAATTCAGAACGTTTCATGAAAATGAGACTTGCACATTTTTAAAGCGTTCTTTACTGAATTTTATATTTAAAAAATTAAGAAAAATATTGGGGCCGTTTTGAGAATTTTTTATTTTTATAAATTGCAGTAAATTCATTCATAACTTATATAAGAAATGTACCAGTTTTTTATATGAATGTATATGACCTTACTTAAAGATCTAGTTTTTAGAACTGATTTCACTCAAAACAAAAATCTTACCATCAACATTGTACTTTTGCAGTGTCTTTTTTTTTGTTGCAATTTTCGAAAATACAGAGAGTTTGATTTTGCAATGGGCACCGGAAGCGAAAATGGTACCAGCTCATTTTTTAACATCCCTCTGCCTTGTACGAGGAGAAAATGGAGTTGTTTTTTGAGAAAATAATTGTTTAAAAATGGCTTATATTTCACGCAAAATTACATGAAATTTCCTCACATTTTCTGAAAATTCGACTTGCTATTTTTGATATGTCTTTCAACAAGATTTTATTTTAAAAAAATTCTATCTTTAATATTGTAGTTGAAGAAATTTGCCGAAAAAGTATCGAAGTTTGGCAAATCTCGAAAAATCAGGAACTTCAGTGAAAAGAATATCCGCGCAGTTCGTTCTCGGAGGGAAAAGTGCCATAAAAAACTAAAACCGTTTATGAAAAAAAATCGAAAATGTTGAGTCTTCGCGCAAAGAACTGCAAAAAATCAACATACCTGATTCCTCCAGATTTATCAGGGAATGCCAATTTTCAAGAGAACCGATTGAACAGTTTAGGCGGTAGCGTCGTCCACAGACGGATGGACGAACAGAAAAATGCCGCCCTACAAACTGTTCTGTTTATTTCTGTTAAAATTATATTTCTAGTCAAGACACGAATTCACACACGTTCTGAAGCAGGCAGAAAACACTTCTAAAGTATCAGAGAACCTTGTTTCGTTCACGGAAAGCAAGAGCAACGCAACTGATACGCACTGAACTGAGAGATCCCTACAAAAATATAATCGGCTTCCATGCGCAGAAAAGAGCCTCTGATATGCCACATCCTGTGAGATGTGACTCATCTCAGTCTCAAAGAGAACGCAAGTTCTTCGAAAGAAAAATCGCGAGGGTCTCGTAGACTCCAATTGAGAATTAAAGACACGTAATTCCCTCATCTTCCCCTACATTCGCACTCCACATATATCTCGACGGAGAGCACGTACCCGCCGTGCGACACAGAATCACATGAGTTGAGTCTTTGCCAAAACCACGTAGACCTCCTGAGTCGCAGGCTCCAGGAAATAGTTACCGCGGTGCCGATTCTGCTGCTCCTTTAGAAAAACGAATATTGGAGCTTCCAAGAAATATCTAAAAATACTTTCGAAGAACGGATATGTTGGCATCTTTCGTGTGATCGTTTGTTACATAATTGTGTTTTTAAGGTTTTCTACTTTCTTATAATTATTTACGTAATACTCAAATTTTACAGTACTCCCCTTAATGCCATTATTCGTAAACCACCAACTTTTGAGGGCAGAGCCGCCATTTATGATCACCATGAAAGTTGGCACATCTACGTGTTTTCTCATCGAGATTTATAATCTGTTCCTTTTGTTGCGACTCCACTAGATATCACAGCAGCAAAAGATGGCGCTTCAGTTAACTGCAATTTCCAATCCATCTGAGCTTCATTAAAAAGAATTAGACCTCAAAATTAACAGGAAAAAACTCATCCTTAAGCATCGCAAACAAAATTCTTCTGTATAAAGCATTGCTAAAACCAGTCTGGACAGATGGAATACAACTTTGGGGAGCAGCTCAAAATTCAAATATTGAAATATTACGTTTCCAATCTAAAAGCTTATGAACATTTGTAAATGCTCCTTGGTACGTCATGAAAGCCACAATACTCCGAGACTTACAAATGACTACAATAAAAGAAGAAATTAACAAGACCAGCGCAAAATACTTACGACTACATAACCATCAAAATATTCTTGCCATTAACTTACAAGACAATAGTAACACCACCATACGACTTAAACGATATCATATCTTACCTGACATATCGACTATAAATTGTTATATTATTTTCTGTTTTATTATTACATATGCTTATCGTATATTTTTAGTATGTTTAGTAAGTTAGTTTAGTTATCAAATATGTTTAGTGTGTGTTCATCTGAAAAAATGTAATATTAGGAGTACGGTCAATGGGCGTTACTCCTCTCATGTTTTTAAAATTGTATGTAATTTTGCCAAATGTTTATACCCAAACAAATTGCAAAATAAAATATTATTATAAAAAACTAAGCTCCATTGTTGCTGGGTGTTGTCACGGCCGCGCTTCGAGGTCAAGGTGAA